GCTACAAGCTGAAGCTTTGAACAAAGGGCGAGGGATGTATTCTAGAGACTTGATTTGAATCTGCAGTTTATTCTATCGCTGCTGCAAGTCTGAACCAAGAACTTTGCCATTACTGTATGTAATTGATTCCATTTAACCAACTCTAACTCTCATCTCTATCTATTTCCTTTTATGAATAAACCTTTAGATTTTAGATTCTAAAGGATTGGCAACAGCGTGATTTGTGGGTAAGATCTGATTTGTATATTGACCTGGGTCTGGGGCTCGGTCCTTTGGGATCAGGAGAACCTTTTTCTTTTACTGGGGTATTAATTTTCATAACCATCTGTCCCCATAACGAGTGTCACTGGTGGTAATACTGGGAAACTGGAGTGTCTAAAGAGATTGCTTGTGAGACTTGCGGTTAGCCAGTGGGGTGAGACCGAAGTCCTCTTAGTCTGGCTGGTTTGGTTTGCCTTAGAGGTGGAAAAAACCCAGCCTTGGGCTGTAACTGCCCTGTTTGAGCAATTTGTCCTGAGTTGGCATTCTCAGTTGGGTTCCGCCAGAACCGCATTGTCACACTAGCAGAATTCATTGCAATTTTATCATATTGGTATTCATAATAAAATAATAATAATATAAAGTGTCTCTCAATTCCATACAGTGTCACTTAATAAACCAGTGAATTCCCAGGATAGGCTCCCCTGGTCTTTGAAGATGCCAAACACCTTGCTTGTGAGGGACTGAAATACCCACATATATGTTGGGAAAACACAGACACTGTGCAAGTCTGTACCCCTATGTTCACTCTTCTACAAAATAATGATCAATTTTGTACATAGTATGTGTCAGAGTGATACAGTGGGGATTCAGCCCTAAGTGCAGAAAGTGGGGGCCCGCAAGGATTCTAAAATTAATTTGTGCCACTCTAGGCTTGTAGTAAACCTCCAAGGTTTCAGCTTTTCTCTGACCTTGGCTTGGTAAATGTTGCCACGACCCAAATGCAAAAAACCCCCTCTGGGACACCCTCAAGCCCTTTCATCTCCCCTCCAGAAAAGAGCGGAGAAAGAAAACAAAGGAAATTAGCTGTGGCTACCAGATAATCAAACAACATGCAAAAACCTCTTAGGACACCAAAAATCCAATCCCATTCTTAAAAGAGGTAAATTTTACTAAAATTAAAAAGGAAAGGAATACATCTGGAACTTAGGCTTTTGTTAGCTCTTAAAAGAAAATTAACTTTTGTAAGCACCCCAAATAGCTTTCTTGGGGGTTCAGCTTAAAGCTTACAAGCAAACAAAAGCATCTCGGATAGCACAGAGGAGATCCAAAAGCCAAAATAAAAAATAAACCTGATTGTGTCTGTCTAAACATTCCCTATTCAAATAATTTATTCTAGGTAGGGAAGATGAATTTTCATACCTGGTTCAAGCCATGCACAGCATTGCTACTCCATGTCTCCTTCTAAGGAGAACAACAGACAAAGGGAAAGTTACTTTCCCATTTAAAAAAGTTCTAGCCTTTCCATTGGCTCTTTTGGTCAGGTGCCCACTCCTTTTCTTTTACCTGTGGGCTGTTGTCACGGAGTGTGGGGGAACTCAGGGCCCTGCACCCCCGGCTTCCTGCAATTCACAATGACTCTCAGCCAGCCAGTAAAGCAAAAGGTTTATTTAGATGACAGGAATACAGTCCTAGACAGACCTTGCAGGCACAGACAACAGGACCCCCCTCAGTTAGGTCCATCTTGGGGTCCCAGGGCATCCCAGCCCCCCTTGGGAGGTCAGAGCCATCTCTGCCTCCCAGCCATCTCACCAGCCAGCTTCCAAAACTCTGCCTTCAGCGACCCCTCCCACAGCCTTTGTTCAGTTTCCCGGGCCAAGGTATCACCTGGCCTCGAACCCCTTCCTGGGTTCTCATGTTACATGCTCAGGTATTCTCCTTCGGGCAGTCTCCCATCCCCCAATGCAGACTATCCTAGCCACACTCCCCTGTCAGCATTCACAGACCACAGTAAGAACAGTCCCAGTTCGTCACAGCTTGTTAATCCTTTACATGTAAAGCAAGCAGAGAACTCACACCAACAGGGATTTTACAGCAAACTGGCTGGCTAGGTGTTACAAAAGGGAGATCTCTCCCCTCCCCTTCAGTATGTTTGGATTAAAGTGTATTGGAAACTCCATTTGGGATAACAAGGCTGGAGCATATCATTTTCCACTGATGAAATAACAAACTTCATATGAGCTTGCATTGTTCAGTAGTGTTCTGGACAGGGCAAGATGCACATTTCTGGTGGAAAGTCTGGGACCAGAGAATTTTCTGCAGTTCTCCTGTGGTGTACAGCAATTCGTGAGTCGCTGACTAGCAGCACTCAAAACTGTGTAGCTGAGAGCGAGTTACATGCTGAAGACTGTGTGTTAACTGCCCAGGAGTGGCTGCTCTCGCAGTAAAGCAGTGTAAAAGGCACCCCAGCCTGGGGAACTGAGGGGACACAGCTGTTCAACAGTCCAGATTGCACTGTGGTGAGTGTCTGTGACATTAAATTTCAAAGAGGCTCTAAAACACCAAGAAACTAAATCCATGTCCCAGAAATCGAATTTAACACCATTAATCTGGGCTTGAATAGGGACTGGCTGGCTCATTACAGAAGCAGCTTTTCCACTCCTGGAATTGACACCTCCTCATCTATTATTGGGAGTGGACTACATCCACCCTGATTGAATTGGCCCTGTCAACACTGGTTCTCCACTTGCGAAGAAACTCCCTGCACTCCATATGTCAGTATATAATGCCTGCATCTGTAACTTTCACTCTCTGCATCTGAAGAGGTGAGGTTTTTACCCATGAAAGCTGATGCCCAAATAAATCTGTTAGTCTTTAAGGTGCCACCAGACTCCTTGTTGTTTTTCCAGAAATCGAAG